CCCTAACTTTCAGTAATAGTTTTTTATTTATTTCCATTGGATTGAAAAGAAAGAAAAATATAGGCAAGAAAAATATTTTGGTTTTCATGTTAACTTCTGAAATTCAAGCCATTTAAATAAATATTTATATTTTCTGAAGCACGATTTTTTAATATATTGTTTAGTCCTAAACTTAACGCTGACTTATTGAGGGCTCTGGAATTGATGGGAGACGTCACGTTATTTTTGTGTGTGTGTGTGTATGTGAGTTATTTTAGCAACTAGTGGCTATGTTCTTCAAAAGGAAGAAGATATTATGAAGCAATGAAATAATAATAGCGAAGGTTATTCATAACATACATACACAACAACAAAAGTATGTACGTTGGCTTATTGCTGTAATAGCGGTGAGAAAGATAAATAAAGTAACCGTTCTCTGAACACGTACTAATTAAGGAAGGATCTTCAAATTATTGGAATTTGAGTATCTGAGCGTGAATGTTGAAAACAAGTCATTTTCATTCGCTTCATAATATCAAATGAAAAACGAGTTTAGAGGTTTAAACGTGTGTCATCTGTCTTCGGTAAACTACCGCTGTTAGGTAAATAACTGTAAAGATAACGGTGAAAACATAACGGTAGAGGAACGATAATGTAAGAGAACGATTTGTGTAACGCGATATAAGGACAAAAGTACGATCTTATTTTGTTTGTCAAGGAAATTTATGGACTACATCTTTCAAACACTTTAAAAGATTCAGGTTTGTTTGTGTGTGTGTGTGACGATCAAGATTAATACCTGAAACCCAATTTATGGACTACATCTTTCAAACACTTTAAAAGATTAAGGTTTGTTTGTGTGTGTGTGTGACGATCAAGATTAATACCTGAAACCCAATTTATGGACTACATCTTTCAAACACTTTAAAAGATTCAGGTTTGTTTGTGTGTGTGTGACGATCAAGATTAATGCCTAAAACCCCACACACACACACAAACAAACCTTAATCAAATTGTGTTTTAGTTATTAATCTTGATCGTCATTAATATTTTAAATTGTTTGAAAGATGTAGTCCATGGTTTGTTTGTGTGTGTGTGTATGACGATCAAGATTAATACCTAAAACCCAATTTATCCAAGTCCTTATGAAGAGAATATTAAACGTATTTTTGTCAAGTTGAGAAAAGAGAAATTCGCTGATGTAATGGGTTATCTTGTATTCAAAACAGAATACAAGTGGGTGTTCGTGATAAAACAAAGTTATTACTGTTTTAACTGCAGGAACGGCGCGATACTTTTCACATGTAAACGTTATATTATTACAATAATAATACATGTTTAAACAACATTTGCATGCTGATACAGCAAGCTCTCATCGGAAAGTAGGATTGAGACATATTAAAAAATGTAAGAAAGTCTGCGTAACAGTGGATATTCACGAATCAACTTTTGTTCATAAATGTTTCTCCGATTCTTATTTACCAGTTCGTTACAATTTCATTCGTATTATTCACGAATCAACTTTTGTTCATAAATGTTTCTCCGATTCTTACTTACCAGTTCGTTACAATTTCATTTGTATTATTCACGAATCAACTTTTGTTCATAAATGTTTCTCCGATTCTTATTTACCAGTTCGTTACAATTTCATTTGTATTATTCACGAATCAACTTTTGTTCATAAATGTTTCTCCGATTATTATTTACCAGTTCGTTACACATTCATTCGTATTATTCACGAATCAACTTTTGTTCATAAATGTTTCTCCGATTCTTATTTACCAGTTCGTTACACATTCATTCGTATTATTTACGAATCAACTTTAGTTCATAAATGTTTCTCCGATTCTTATTTACCAGTTCGTTACACATTCATTCGTATTATTCACGAATCAACTTTAGTTCATAAATGTTTTCCCGATTTTTATTTACCAGTTCGTTACACATTCATTCGTACTATTAGAATTATAATGACTGAAGACGAGGGCTTTTACTTGCGAATTCAAACTGCAAAGTAAATCTGTATGAAATATAGCATATGGCTTAAATATTTATATCTATAAATATATAATAAACATTACCTTTTTTACATTTTATCCTGATATTCATAACTACCGTTTGTATTTTTACTATATCTTGGACTTACTGCTACTATCAAAGATTGATTTTTTAAATATTTCATTGAGTACAACTATTGGTGTCCATTTGATAACGTTGTTACTGTTTTTTTCATCTACGGCTCTCACTTTTTTAACCATCATAAAATGACGTTTCGAGCTTTCTAAGTTAATCAGAAATTTCTAAACCAAACTCTCATTCAATTGAATCAAAATTATTAGATAAAACACAACTTTTTATGATGGTGGTCGGACAGAGCACAGATAGTCCATTGTGCAGCTTTGTGCTTAACTTCAAACAAACAAACAAACTATCGCATAAATATTTTTAGTTAAAATTTTGAGACTACGAGTTAGCTTTTGAATAACTGCTGAAAAGTTATATTAATTTATGAAAGTTCTAAGAGTGAAATTAACAAATTATTTACACATGCGTGTTGTTGTTCTATTCTAACCAATTCTGTTTTACTACTCTATGTTTTTGTAGTCTTTACTCATAAAATATTTATTTTAAAAACAAACCTATAACATCTGTGATACTATTTTTACAAATTTTGAACTTTTTTACCTGCAGACGAAATGATAGAGGTCTGCATGTTTGTTGTCAGAAAATGAAATATTTTCTTCTTTGCCTCTTACTCTCGGTTTTAATTCTTACTGTTTAAAGTGTTATTTCTGGAATATCGAGCTTCAAACACATCATCCAAAACCACGTTGATATATAATCCACTTTGACATCACGGCAGAATGTGAAAGCAGCTTTTTCGCCTCTAGCTGTGTGTTGAAAGGTAAATTCTCCTAATATTTTTCTCGCTTGTTACTCGCAGAGTTATTTGCTATCAACGTACAGTCGGGTTGATTTATCTATGAAAACATATAGAGATTTTTACCGTTATGGACAGCGGCGTTAAACGAACGAGTATAGGTATCTCAGGTAAATATTCTCAACTTTCAGCCCTCCTTAACGAAGCCTGTTTGGACTTCTTTCACGTGCTTGATTGAGTAATACGTGGATGTCTAGTTATTGAACAGAGTAGCCGGGGAAGAAATTGTAAACATTATTTTTGAGATGATTAAGTGACCAGTAACAAGAATAAAATTTATCTTAAGGGCTACCAGAGCTGGCAGTTTGGTTCATAATATCTCTAGCATACTTGTTTGTTGTTAAGCGCAAAGGTACACAATGGGCTAGCTGTGCTGTGCTCATCACTGGTATCGAAACCCGGTTTTCAGTGTTATAAACCTTCGGGCTTATTACCGTGTCACCGAGGGGTTCTCCACCATAATCGAGTTTCGAGATAAACCCAAATATTCGAAGTGACTTATTAATTGTCGTGACACGGAAGTGACTTATTAATTGTCGTGACACGGAGATTCGGGAAAATACTATCTGTTAGCCTAAGTACCTAAACATTTGTCTCGTTTTCAAAACTTTATGTATTTTCATATATATAAATCTATATATTTGAGAAGGAAGAGCATGGAGTGCCATGGAAACATTCGAGCATTAAGATGATAAAAGAAAAATACTAAAAATGAAACGATACCACTGTCAAAGACTGCCTTTATTAAATACGAAACGTTGCCACTCTCAAAGTCCGTCTTTACTAAAAACAAACAATACCACTGTCAATGTCTGTCTTTACTATACACGAAACGATACCTCAACGTATGTCTTTACTAAAAACGAAACGATACCACTGTCATGTATGTTTTTACTAAAAACGAAACGATACCACTGTCAATGTATGTCTTTACTAAAAACGAAACGATACCACTGTCAATGTATGTTTTTACTAAAAACGAAACGATACTACTGTCAATGCCTGTCTTTGCTAAAAACGAAACGATACCACTGTCAATGTATGATTTTACTAAAAACAAACGATACCACTGTCAATTCCTGTCTTTACTAAAAACGAAACGATACCACTTGTCAATGCCTGTCTTTGCTAAAAACGAAACGATACCACTGTCAATGCCTGTAATAGTTCTTTCGATATGTCAAAATCAAGTGTTTTATCAGTTAATACCAATTATTCTCCTAACTCAACACTAGATATCATTTTTATTAAATATCTCGTGGAGAGGCCTGTAGATAGACATCGAAAAAATGTTATTTAAATACTCAACTATTTTACTTGAAGAGTTGTATTTTCATACAGCCGAAACGATACCATGCTTCTTTTTCTTTTATTACGAAAGATTTGACTTTATTTTATTATTAGTTTTTTTAGTACACAAATCGTTATAAATGATATTAAAAGTGTCGTCTATAAAATATGGCGATGAAAAATTTAAAAAAGAATGAATAAAAGACGAGTATTAATATTAGTGATACACCTTTAAATCCACAATTATATATTATTGCAAAAAAAAGATATTTTGTTACATGTTTTGACATTTATTTGAGTCGTCATCGGGCAAACATATATTTTCGAAACATGTAACAAAATATCTTTGTTTTGCAATTATAAAAAAAAATGTGTTTTACTTATATGAATCAAGGCCCACAACGTATACGTGCAAACAAATTAAAAAGTAAATATATTTTGTCGGGTTGAAAATAGGCTCCCAACGTATACGTCGGAACAAAAATAAAAAGTAAATATATTTTGTCGGGTTGAAAATAGGCTCACAAAACGAATATAATAATATTAGCCCCCCCCCCAGGGGCACAGCGGTATATCTGCGGACTTACAACGATAGAATTCGGGTTTCAATACCCGTGATAGGCAGAGCACGGATAGCCCATTGAGTAGCTTTGTGCTTTATTACAAACAAACAATAATTTTTTAAGGTTTATAACCAGAAACAATATATATATATAACAAATTGTATAAAAACAATTTTAAATGTAATTGCGTGGAAAGTTTTTAATGGAATTTAACCGCCTATTTTTACCTTTGTTTCGGAGCGGTATTTCATTCTGCTGACTTCAATAAGATCGTCAAACAATCTACAACACAGGCGAATGATCTCCATTAAAAACATTTCATTTGTGTACAATATTATATTAGAAAACAGAACCTTTAATAGCAACTGTTTGTTTCACCATTATATGTTATTACTATAGGAAAAGCACTTACTTTATGAAAGTGCTTGTCCTTGTTTAGTAATATAGATCTCATACTTCTCTAGAAACCACTTGATGTTCTTAGTTTAGACCTGTACCGTTCAATATTTCATTTTACAATAAAATAGCATTCTGTTATCATAAACGGTCTTGTAGTGTTTTATTGTAAACGTTTTGTTTATCGCATGTCACTATTAAATACTTAAAATACTATGATATTTACTAATGCTTCATCAGATGATACATAATCTATTATTCGCCAAAAAATTTTTCAGGTGAGATATAACTCGATATTCGCCAACACTTTATGACATAGCACATAACTTGATATTCTCCAACACTTAATCCCATATTATATATAGACTAGCTGACGCACCCTTTCAACGCACCCTTTCAACGCACCCTGGGGAGTGTATAGGGGACTAAATCCAAACGCCGATCCCCTCCCCTGTCACTCCCTGGCGTGCCAAAGGTTTGTAGGCATCAATATAATAGCACGAGGAATACTTAAGAGCCATCGCAGGGAACTCGGGGGGGGGGGGGAGCAGATCCGAATGTCGACCTCCCTATGATACTCCCCTGGGCTTTGAGGGTGCTTTTCAAGTTTGTTGATTGATTGAGACCACTTCTGTTTTATACTTACAGATATGACAGTCACTAACCTTTTATTATATTACATAACATGTTTCATATTTCCCCCAAAACGTATTTTCTCGTCAGGAAAGTTAATCTGAAAAGAAAATTTATAAATTGGAGAATTAAAGAATCGATCTTCCCGATATTAAGTATTATTTTTAGTGCATAAACCGAAGACTAAGAAATATCTGTATACTTACACTTCCTAACTAGTGAGTTTCTCTTGTTATCTGTATACTTGCACTTCCTAACTAGTGAGTTTCTCTTGTTATCTGTATACTTCCTAACTGGTGAGTTTCTCTTGTATAAGTGACTCGTAATGATTATCACAATATAGTTACTAACAAAATTTCTGTGAAGTGATTCTCAGACAGTAATGATGTACTTTTTTATTTTGTTTTTGATATACATACTTTCATACATTTTTTTTCCGCAAGAGATGACAAAATTTTAAATGTAGAGAGTTTTCACTAGTTTTTATGTATGCTTTTGTACTTCACGTGTGTATTTTAGGAAATAGAACTTTGTTTAAAATCTTTCATACGGTCATATATTAACATTTAAGATGTTTTTATTTCAATGATTTAAACCGATGTGTTTCGTCTGACATTATTTATTAGTTAAACACCTGATAGTGACACTTGTGTTAAAGTACGGGTTTACAGTTTTCTGTTATCGTTATGATGATGTCTGGGAATGAATTCAGTGTTGTTGACATTACTAACCCGATGATACAAGTAAACCAACCATCAACAGCAGCTTCGTTTAATCCCTTGAGCTATTTCAAGCAATTCCCTTGCCACATCCCACAACTAGCGTTGGCAGAAGTTTGGGGTGCATTGATAATGTAAACACTGTGGGAAATTTAATTTTATATTCGAATTGATACAGAATAAGTTAAATACAGTAGATATAAATATCGATTGATACACATCTTGAAAATCAGCAGCTTAATGCAACTAGAAGTATCAGCGTGGTGGGTTAACACGACTAAAAAGGATGACAGCAAAAATGTCTTGAATTATTTATTACTTTCTATTTTCGGAATTGAAGTAGATAGTTTAAAAGCTAATAGAACTAAGGTGACATTAAAGCATAGGTTTAGCCACTAGTACCCTATCATTGATAATCCTCAGATAGTTTAAAAGCTAATAGAACTAAGGTAACATTAAATCATAGGTTTTGCCACTAGTACCCTATCATTGATAATCCTCAGATAGTTTAAAAGCTAATAGAACTAAGGTGACATTAAAGCATAGGTTTTTGGCACTAGTACCATATCATTGATAATCCTCAGATAGCTTAAAAGCTAATAGAACTAAGATTACTTTAAAGCATAGGTTTGCTACTAGTACCCTATCATTGGTAACCGTCATAGAGCCACCGAGAGAATATAAAAATATCTCACTAGTAGAGTTTGTAAGAGCTAGCACAAAATTAAAACTATATTAATTAACTATCAGTAACATATAAAATGCCCCCCGGTGGCACAGCGGTATGTCTGTGAACTTATACTGCTAGAAACCGGGTAGCTTTGTGCTTAATAATAAACATCAAACATCAACATATTAAAGATTATAATAAATCAAAGCTAGAAAAGTTTTATTGAAAAAAAAAACAATTGGAGTCTGAAAATAATTAGGTCATTGAGTTTGGTTCATAGAAATCACTCTACAGTTTATTGTAAGATAATATTTAATGAGTTACGTATTTGGAAGGTGAGTGTAACTTTTCCGCACTATATAGATTAAATATAGTTAATCCTTAGAGAGTCATAGAGACAGGGTCTTCTTCACAAAATATAGTTAATCCTTAAAGAGTCATAGAGACAGGGTCTTCTTCACAAAATATAGTTAATCCTTAGAGAGTCATTATGACTTAATTAGATATTTAAATTTATAATTATAATTTTCCAACCAGAAACTATATGATAACAGGATTTTAACTTTATAAGCAGGTGAAATTATTATTATGATAAACGTCTTGATAATTGACTTCATTAGTTATTTTTGTATAAATATACTTAGCAAGGGTAAATAATGTCGAAGATATAGCAGTCAAGAAATATTTTATTTGTTGCTTGTCGTTTTATTACCAAGGAAACGCATGATGCTATATTCATTATTTCAAACTTATCTATCTAAAGTAACAATAATATATCTATCTGAAGTAACAACAATATATCTATCTGAAGCAACAACAATATATCTACCTGAAGTAACAAAAATATATCTACCTGAAGTAACAAAAATATATCTATCTGAAGTAACAACAATATATCTATCTGAAGCAACAACAATATATCTATCTGAAGCAACAACAATATACATTCAATTCATCGCTTTTTGTGCACTCTTATTTTTGTCTAAATTATTTATTTAAAATAGCTTATTCATTCTACGTTACTTCTGTTGTGGCGTGGGTGGAAAAAAAAATGAGATTCAAAAATACCATTTATTTCTCTATCTGTAGCTTCAATTTATCACCGTTTTCCTGTATTTTTATCTACTTACCTAAATGTATCAATACATCTGAAGATCTAGTTATTTATTTTCTTTTTCTTCCATCTTATACATAAACTACTAAGAAAATTTCAAAACTATAATAAAACATCAAATCAACAATGTAAGTTTGTACTAGCATTTTAGTTGCACATCGAACCATTCTTAGTTGAAACAAAATTTACAAACCAATCTAACTGTCTTAGCGTTAAGTTCATGTTTATTATTCACCAAGTATGTGTGTAGGAATGGAAATAACTGTATATATATATATGTTGTTGTTTTTTATTTAATGAAACAAAAGTGTCGGAAAATACATATTGTATAATAAAATTATTACAAGCTACAAATGACGCAAGATTGACACAGTAAAAAACAGTTATGCTTGCATTAGGGACAGGGTCTTCTTCACAAAATAAATTATGAGTATTAAACAGTACATCTTCGCGTTATAAAACAACAAGGAGATTTGACAAGGAAGTTGTAACAAAAGATAGATATATGAACAATAAAACAATGACGACCAATGAGGGTGTACCATTTTATCGATTGTACGACTAACAGACTTAATATAAAGAGGGTCTCTAAGCTTGTATTTGTACAGTGCATATCCGATTCCATCAAAGAGCATTATTTGTGTCAAAAAAAAGCTTCCACCAAGCTGAAATAGAAAAAAATTGAACTATTGGACCGTGATCATGTTTGTTTCTGTCGCTTTGTGTTGGAAAACATCTTTTACATCACTTCCATATTTGAAAATCATAAACGACAAATGAAAGGATGTTTTACATCATATAAATCTTAAACACTTCAACTGAAGTTTAAGTAGATTTACAATAGATGTATTTTAAATCTACGTGATAGAATCATTTAAACGTTTACAAATAAGGCTTAACTAAAAGATTCCAAGAGAAGAGATTTACTTAATTAAAAACTAATGGGATTCATTGAAATTTCCTAGAGATGTTTTTTTCTGAAGTTTTCTTTGAGGTATATACAAATACAGTTAACAATTCCTGTTAAAACATAGCTGTTGAGCTTGTTCAAGAAACAACTTTCTTCTTGAAGACTTTCTATTTGTTTCTTTCAAGAATTGTCTGAAACATTTTCTAGTGAAAATTTATTGAAAACAAATTTCGTAGGCTATATTTTTCAAATTTCTTGTTAAAACGTTCCTTATAAATTGAGTTTTAATTTCTTTATGAATACTTTGTTGAGCGGATTATAATTAAACATTTGTTTTCGATCATTTAATTTGAGGCTTCTCAATGATTTCCAGAAACTCTGCCCCCCCCCAGTGGCACAGCGGTATGTCTGCGGACTTACAATGCTAGAATTCGGGTTTCGATACCCGTGGTGGGCAGAGCACAGATAGCCCATTGTGTAGCTTTGTGCTTAATTAGAAACAAACAAACCAGAAACTCTCTTAAAGCACCTCATTTATACTTTTAGTTAAGTATGTTTAAACCTTTTCCAATTTGGTTAAACAGATATTTTAAATGACGTTTATCTGAAAATATTCTAGCAAGGTTTATTCAATTTTTTTATGATGATTTCTTAAAGCTTTCCTAGTGAGAGTAAACTAAACTCTATTTAATATATTTTATCGTAAATCTTTTCAATGGGGTTAATTTAAAGAGCTTTCATGTATTTATGTAATATTATCTTAAAGAAACATCTCATTGTTAGAAGCTCATTAGTAATAGTAAGAAGGCCCTTCATGTGTACCTGCCCCCAGTAGCACAA